CCCCTGAAACCAAAGGAGGCAGGGGCAGTGGGGAGCAGGGGCTAGGAGAATGGGCGAATGTGTGGGAAACTAGGCAGATGGCTGGGCATGGGGACTCGCTGGGGCTGCAAGATGAATTGCTGTGCAGTGGGATGGGCAGTCGAAAGGTTGATGTAGCGGCCACATGTCTTCACTCTCTACGTTATCTGTGTCTATATGTGCATACACACGTGTACACAGAGGCAGGGGGGTTCAGCAATCAAGAGGCAGACCACAATGTGTTTTTGGGGGTTTGACTCAAGATTTTTGACTCTTTGGGGACCAAGTTACACAGTGTAAATAATAAAGATGATACCCTAAGACAATAAGCTGATACCCTAAAATTATACTATATGTGGTAACACTGGGCAGCAGGGGTTGGGAGTTAGCGAGCCAGGCGGGAGTTGGGGTTAAGTTGCTGCTGAGCAGGAAATGGGGCTGAGGAAGGTGGTTCCCTGTTGGGGGTAAAAGCCTGGACTGGGCAGGCCCCATCTCTATCTCCTTTGCCATCAGCATGTTGCTTGCCACTGGTGGCGTGTGTAGGAGGATCTCTGATCTATAGCAGGTCGTCCCCGGCCAGCAACTGCACTGGGTGTTGCACAGCTGCCTGAGGCCGCTGAGTCTTCCCCTCCCCTAAGCCCATCCCTGCCCCACTCCTAACAGCCCACAGCACCTATGCACCCACGCACTGTTTTGCCTGAGCCCTGGCTTACCTTGCAGGCCAGGGTCCCCCCGTCATCATTACACTCATGCTCTCCTGGCTCTTCAATCCGGGCCCTGCAAAGCGCTTCACCCCATTCACTTCTTTCACCCCATAGCTGCAGAGAGACAAAAGTGAGCAGGATACAGTCAGGGGGACAGCAACACAAATTGGGCAGGGGGAGGACACACTGGGCCTTTAAGAGGTTTCCTGGAAGCAGCTGCTCCGCTTCATTTCCCAGCTCCCTGGGGAAGGGGTGTGAGGCCAAGCAGCTGGTGGCTGGGGCTGGCAAAGGCAGGGCAGCTGAGACCTTTCCTCCAGTTACTTGTGGGACAGGAATACATTAAGCCTCCTGTTTGTGTCCCTGCTGTTAAGTGACACTTGCCCCTGGGGATCAGTCTGTGCTAAATTAAACACCTTCCATTATTTGGCTTGAGCCTGAGCTCTTTGCCTCAGTTATACTCCAGGCTGGGTCAGAGTCTTGCGAAGTCATGGAAATGCTCCTCTCCAAAGCTGGGCCCTGCCCCATAACAACTCTAAACCACAACCAAATGCCCCCAGGATGCAGGGCAGTGTAGGGCTGAGTGTCGGTTGTAGGCCTCAGCACCTTTGTGCAAGCTAGAGGGGGCTCAGAGGCCAGGGCTGTGACAGGCCCAGATAGGGTTCTCCTGGGAAGGAAACCTCTGTTGCTGTGCTTCACGCCCAGGATAGGGGAACAGCCTTCTCCTCCCCACACTTTGGGACACCTCTTGTTTGCAGGGGAGAGAGTGGGGAGCTGGGAGTGTCAAGCTCTGTGGGTTTCTGGGCTTGCCCTATCCAAGGATGTGAGAAGGGAGAACTCGTTGCATGGTCTTCATGTTGTATGACCATGCAGGAGGCAGGCAGAGCCCAGGAGTCTCGCACTGGGTGAGCCCTGTCCTGTCTGCAGTAGTTTTGCCGTCACTGGGTGGCCTGTTCCAAAGTCTCGAGCTGTTGGTTCTGTTCTGAAGCCTGGGACCACATGAGGACTGAGACGGCGAGCAGCCTTTTGCTGAGTCACTCAGCATGGGACACCTCAGCTGAGGCTGGAGGCCTTGTTCTATCATTCCCAAGTAATACAAGAGGGATTTAGAGGCTGTAATTGGATCCAACTATAATCAGATGCACGCAAGATGTGCAGCTTTCAGACATCACATGGGTCCTCTACTGGACTATGGCCCAGTCCATGCTGGAAATACACAGCCTGCAGGACAAATGCCTTGTGCTGTATAATCCATGCCTGGGTACTATAGGGGATTTAACTGATCAGAAAAGTCACTAGAAGATCCCTCTGCCCATGTAATGGGCCATAAGGGACTGATCTTGAGCTGGAAGATGAAACTCAGCTCATCTGGGTGTCCTCATTTCAGGATCCTCAAAAGAGCTGTGACTACATTACAGAAGGGTGCAGAGGGGCAGGGTACAGCCCTGAGACTAAAGTAACCCAGGTTCAGTTCTCTGGTCTGTCGCTCCATGGGTGATTCTGGCAAGTCAGTCTCTCTGGGCCCCTTTCCCTGTATGTAAAATGCGGAATATAGCCCTTCCCTATCTCACAGGATGCTTGAATGCTGTGAGAAGAAATACGTTGAAGATTATGAAGTGTACTCATATAGGAAAACGAGAGCGGTGTCAGTGGATGTCTAAGCTCTGTTTCCTCAAACATCTCCCACTACTGCTCCATGGAGAGTGTGAAGGGCAGATGCTCACATGTAGGCCATGAGGGAGAAGTTCACAGGTGCAGTTTGGTGCCTGGCTCCAAGATGAACCCATGAATATCAACCATAAGGGGCATAGTGTGGGCATTGTGTCACTTGACCTGCTTGGAGGTGGCACTACAAGGGGGAACGGTCAACAGGGCAATGTGAATGGCCAGCCAGGAACAGGAACAGTAGGTGCCTGGTAGCTTCCATCAGCTATAGAGCCCCATAGCTGTTACAAATCTTTTCCAGGAAACCAGGGGGCCCCTGGTGCACCCCCTGACAGCCAGTGTTCCCCGCTTAGGCGACGGGTGGGGGGGCAGGCAGGAGCACTGATGTCCCCACAAGAGCGCCGGCTGGGGAGTGGGAGCACCAGGAGAAGCGCCACTGGCTCTTCCAGGCTCGCCACTGGCACTTCTGGGTCAGTGTGATCAGTCGTGCCCCCCCCCACCCCCACAGTTGCTGACTGGCTGCTGGGGTGTCAAGTGCCCTCTCTGACTCAGGAGGCACCAGCCGCCCATACCAGGGGCTGTTTGTGTGCTATGATGGAGACAGCATCAGCCCATTCAGATAAAAAATGACAGCAAATTAATGCCCCCTTCGCTCCCCCTTGCCATGGAGGATCAGAAGCTAAAGCAGGGAGAGTAGCAGCTTGGAGGATGCACTGCCTTTGAGGTCAAAGCTGCAAACTGTAATGACTTAAGCCCCTCAGCTTGTACCATGACCCCCTGATTCTGCTTAGTCCTTTGGCTTGGTTTCAGACTCTTGGCTTTGGATCCCGCCCCTTGGTTTGGAACTTGGAGTTGTCCTCGGTTGCTTCCAACATACAGTTCACCCCTGCAGCCCCGCTGGTCCTCACTCCTGGCTCCACCCATAGGTCTGATGCCCTTATGAACCCTGACAGGGTCTGTGACAGGGGTTCTTTCAGTGCAGCAGCAAAAGCACTCAACCCTCTGACAATCAGAGCATCATAGAGAAATAGGGCCAGAAGGGACCTCTGGGAGGCAGGATCATCCCTGGCTAAACCATTCCAGAGAAGTCTGCTCTGAAAAACTTCCAAGAATAAAGACTCTACAACCTCTCTTTCTCATAGTGAGAAAGCTCTTCCTAACATCCAACCTAAACTTCCCTTGTTGCAGGTAAGACCATTGCTCTCTGTCCTGTCTCTTGGGGCCACAAAGAATAGTTTAATCTCACCATTCTCTCTACGATCACCCTTTAGGTAGTTGGACTGTTATTAAATCCCCTACCAGGCATCTTTTCTTCAGACTACATAATCCTATGACTTTTCTCATAAGTCATGCTTATCAGACCTCCAATAATTTTTATTGTTCTTCTCTGGACTCGTTCCCATTTGTCCACATCTTTCCTGAAGCGCAGTGCCCAGAACTGGACACACTGCTCCAGGTGAGGCCTCACCAGTCTTTCTAATATCTATAGATTGTCTCTGTGTAGTAAAAGTGGGAGAGACCCTAGAGGAGCTGCCATAGCAGGGTCTCTTAAGCCTGGCTCTGGGGCAGCCCTGAAGGAGCCTGGTTCACCAGTTTGATGGTCCGGGATAACATGGTGAGACATCCAGAGGCCTAGACCATTGTCAGTTCACCACATTGAGAGACCATCAGGAGCCCTATCCTAGCCAGAACATGCATCCTCAGCTGCCTGGATCCAGTGCCCAGGGTGCTGGGCTGCCCAGTCAGCCTCATGGCAACTGCCAGGCTGTTGCCACCTTCTTACTGAGAAAAGCCAGGAATGCTCAGGGAGTTGCAAATATGCATGGAGTGATGCCCCTCACCCCAGGCTCCTGGTGACTTGCAGGGAGTTGAGGGCACTCAGTACCTGGCAGAATCATGGCCTTGTATGAAGAGAGGTCCCTGGATCTTAGCGGGGTGCCCAGCCACTCTTCCCCTTTATCCCTCTTGGCTTTGAGCATTAGAGTCCCTAATGGAAAGAGCACTTCCTGCTAATCAGTGCTCTGTATTGGACATGGGTTATTCCTGGGTTACTCAGATCTGATCTGGCAAGGACTGAGCCCCTGTCCCCAGCAGGAGCATGCTGTCCTTTCTATTCCCATCCAGCCCCTCAGAGGACGTGTCTTCGTGGAAGTGCTTGTAGGTCTCTCCGAGTTTAGCTCTGCTGTATCACAAAGCACTTTTCCATTCCTTTCCTGGGGGGCGTTAGGCAAGCCTGCCACACACGCAGTGCTGGAACACCGTACACCAAGTACCTACAGAGGCTTCTGCCGACTCACTTTTCCCAGCTCTGTGAGCAGCTGTTCTCCAGCGCATCCACATATTCAGACTCACTCAGGAGAGCACCAGGCTTCTTTGCCAATGACCATTTGGATTCTGCTTTTTCTAGGTATTGCTGCATCTTTAATGAAAGAAAAGGAAAGGTAAATGTAGGTGCAATCAGAGCAGCTGGGAACACTGTTCATGTAACTCCTGATCCCTGCCATGTCACTGCTGTAGCAGGTGCTGTGTGCAATGCTCAGCCCTGCTCCAAAGTGTTTAGACCCCCAATAGTCTTTCTGCTAGAACGTTCCTGGAAAGTGAATTCTGCTTCTCCACATTTAAAGCTGTCTCACAGCTGAACCTGAGGGGGCTTTCACAACATTTACCAAGGTCACTTCACCCAGGGCATATCTACACATGCATTAAGGCACTTTTTCTAATGCACATTAAATTTAGTACCTCCAGTGTGATGGCACCTATACATGAGTGTGGAGGCTGCTCCGACATGCTGGAATTCTAGCGCATTTGAGCAGACTCAATTAATCGAGTCTGCTGGAGTATGGCAATTACTATACTCCAGAAGCCTCCCACGTTTCGTGTATCAGCGTCCCCGTGCTTAAAAATGATGGCAGGGCCACTTGAACTAAAGCTTGCTTGATGAGCTTTAGTTCGTGTCCCCACTGCCATTTTTAAGCGCAGGGACTCTTCTACACAAGACACAGGGATGCTTTTAATTAGAGCAGCTCTTGGAGCCGCTCTAATTACAGCACTATTCCCCTGCCCTTGGAGCACACGTAAAAGTGCCCTAAAATACTAAAGAAATGTGCATTAGGCTGCCTTAATGCACAATAATGAATGCATGTGGTTTTTAAGTGATGCTTAATGTACAGCAGCCTACTTTACTGTGTATTAGCATAATTGCACCATTTTTAAAGCACATGTGTAGATGTGCCCCCACATATTTAAACTACCTCCCCAGGGCCTAGTTCTCCTTGATGGTGCCTCTTTAAACCATATGGCTGGTGCTCACAGGTGTAAGTCAGTGTATTTGACCTGCATGAGAATAATGTGGCATGGGGCAGTTCCTGTGGCGTTTCCCTGTGCCAGCACCTGTGGCCATGCCTTTACTGGGCTCACACACACAAGATCCCTGGCTTCAATTCCCAGCTGTACTAGTTCTGCTTGTGTGAGCATGGATAAGCTCCTGAGTCACTCTGGACCTCACTACTTGATCTGTAGAATGAAACTTCCCTTCCTCTGGGGGACAAACCCAGTGTCAGCAGATGCTAACATCCTGTTCCAACAGGGCTACAAGGAGTACCTAGAAAAGAAGCCAAAGTGGCATCAAGGTCTGTGCCTTTAAAGGCTGAGCATCTCAGGCAGAGAGTCTTGGTCCATTACTGCTATGCCCAGCCTTCTGGAAGGGGGCACAGATTAAAGCAGATCTCTTGCAGGCATGATCAGTACAGGACAGTGCAACTTGCCTGCTCTTACACACGTGAGCTTGCAGAACTGCAGGGGGCTGCTCTGTGTCAGGAGAGTATTGGCCACAAATACTACCCCCATGCCAGAGATGCCCAGCTGCAACTAGGGGTGTAATTACAGGGGCAGCAGAGGTATGTGCCATTATTGTTCAGCCTGGAAGTATGAGGGAGAAACAACATTATCGTCCCTCATCAACTCTTAGTTGCCTGGCTCTTCCCCTCCTTCTGCTGTGCCTATCAGATCCTTAATGGCTGGACTCAGCTCGCAGAGTACTAGCTTCAGCCTCCTGCCAGCAGGGTCTGATCTGTCTAGTGCTGTGCAGGCCTGAGGCTGCAGCTTGATGTCCCATCCAGGCAGCTCATGGCCTGGTCTTGCCTGTCCATCCTTGGCTTTTCCCTTTGCCTGAGACTGGGAGGATGTAAGAGCAGGGAAAGTGAGAGCCTGGCTTGACTGGAGGAGCTGAACTGGCTGGAGAGCAGGAATCGAATGAGGGGGGTAATTTTTCTCTCTAAATAATCTGCAAGACAAGGGCACAGGAAGGCGTCAGCTTTAAAGCAACCTGTGGGCAGTGTGGCAGTAGAAGCGAGGGACAGGGGGAAGTGGTATGCTCAGGCTGCCGCCTTGCTGTTGTGTAAGGTAGGTCCCTTGCCTGCTGTACAGCTTCTGCTTTGCCTGCCCTGCTGGTGGGTGCAGTGTGTATGTTCCAGCACTCAGAGTGCCCTGGCAGGTTCAGCTGAGCATGGGTGAGAGCCAGTTTGCCACATACTCCTGGAACACACCCTGGGAGTTTTCTTCTTTCAGACCCAGAGCTAAAATAACTTTGTGTCCCCCTTTTGCATATCAGCTGCAGGCCACAAGTTGGTGGCATTTGCAGGCTACCTGTTAGCGAATGCTGGGACTTGTGCCTGGGGCTAACAGAAAATGACACACAGGTGCTTGTCCTTAAGAATGGCAGAGGAGGAGTCAGGAGAGAGCAGGTGGGGATGGGAAGGAAACCACAGGGAAGAGAGAGAGCTGGGAAGGAGGTGGAAGTAGGGTGACTGCTCCTGTCTGTTGGGGCAACCTGGGGAACCTCCTCTGTCTTACACTTTTGTGAGCCCTGAGTTGTTCTGCCCAGCTGAAGGGCTGGTTTTGCAAGGGCTCAGAGCCACAGCTAGCACCAGGATTCCTAGCACTCCCCTCTCTCTTAGGCAGCTAAATAAGGCTCTAATTTTTAAGAGCTCAGCACCACGTGCCTCCAGCAGGCCGAGCCAGTTAGAAAACCTAGTCCAAAGGGTAGAGAGGGAAACAGTTGCCCCTGCCTGTATTCATACATGTGCATATGTGTGCACCCCCTCCCCCCCGCCCTCCCCTCCAAACACACACACATGCTGCTTTCCTGGGTTGCTAGAAAGAGAAGCAGAGTCAGGGAATTTGCCTACAAGGGGTTTAAGACCCAGTCTGGAAACCTTAGCCCACACCCTGATCATTGCAAACCCTGTAGTGCAGGGAAGTGACCAGAAACCCAGTAATGCCATGTAGCATGGCACCACAGCCGTGAAATACTTCCATATGGCCAGAAGCAGCCAATCATGAGCCCCACTTGGCTCCCTTCTTGGCAGTCAGAGAAACTAGGACCAGAAGAAGGCACCCTCCCCCACCCCATCACTGCAAGCAATGGTTCCTCCAGCCAGGGCTGAAGTGCAGCAGTGGAGGCCAGGCACTGCAAGGGAAGAAAGCTTGCTCAGCATTTGACTAGACATTCCCTTACAGACTTGAGCCCTGAGAGCCATCTGTGCAGCCCCAAATCCACACCTGCATGGGGTTAGGCATAGGGACTATGCTGTTAAAGTGTCACCCAAGGCAGTAATCTCTGCAGCTCTGACAAATCCACAATCAGAATAGGCCACAGCCAGACCTTGACAGTGTTGCTACTGATAGACTGGGAGCTGTGGTGCTGCAGACCTTGCCATGGGCCCAGTGCAGGGCACTGAGTGCAGCTGGCTGGATGTTCTGCAATAGCTTTTCTCCTGTGACACTCTGCACCTGCAGGCTACGCGCCTGGGGTGATTTGCATAAATCCATTTTTACCCTCTAGTGGGGAAACAGAGGGGCTGCCAGGAGCCAGCTGCTAACGGCACACCCAGCTCTCTCCCAGGGACTGAGAGAAGATGTCCATGGCTGAGCCAGGCTTGCAGGGCAGCCTTTCCTGACAGTTTATGTTTGCAGCTGCTGGTTTGGGATGCTGAGCTTGGCACTTTCCAGGCCTGGCAACATTTTGGGAGCTAGCCCCTCCTCTGCTAGCTGCCCTGGGGCACAGTGTCATGCTCCCGGTGGGAGGGATGCAGCCTTATCGCAGGCAAGTTGGCTCAGAGGTCACAGGCTACATGATAAAGGATATCAGCTTGGAGGAAGGTGGTGTTACCACCACGTTCTGAGTAGGCTCAAGACAGGTCACGGGAGGTGGCTGTCCCATGGGCAGTTCTGCCACTGAGTGGCTGTTTGAGATCATGCAAGTCACTTAACCTTCACGGATCTCAATCTGTTTGACTGCAGAGGAAGTCATGGCACATCTAGGCCTGACAGGGGCAAGGCAGGGCTTGATTTCTAACGCACTCAGAGCCCCTGGATGGCAGGTGCCATGTTATTGCAAGGGTTTGTTATCTGTTTCTGTTGGTGCTAGCAATCGGCATAATACAGGGGCCACTGAAATCAGTGGAAAGCTTCCCCTGGACTTCAGTGGGCTTTGTATGAGGCCCACAATATAAGGGTTAAGGATGGGCCATCAGACATTATTTGCTCTGGCCTTTCCCTCCCTGAAGTATCCCACCATTGCTCATTTCCAGGCAACTCCACCAACGGCAGCCAGTGCTTAGAGAGGCTCTAGTACAGATGACATGCTGGCATTGCAACCCTGCTCAGAGTGAGGGTAGATGACCTGATGATAGAAACTCAGTTCTGAACCCTGGGAGGAGCCAGTCTGCAACGTCAGAAGGCTGGATGCCATAGGTCCACTTTTCAAAGCAGGGCTGTAGGTTAAGAAAGTGATTTGGGGTGAGATTTCTTCTAAAAAGGGCCTCTGTCATTTGGGTGGGAAAGTCCCTGGCTGCAGAAATAACTCTAAAGAACATCAACGGGGCTTACAAATAACAGGGGGTACTAAACTGGGGGAAGGCAGGCTTTCCAAATCAGACCTTCAGGAGCTTGCTGATCCAGAGAAGGAGTCTAGCAAAGCCAGCTGGGGATTTTTGGGTTTATAGCCATATGTTATAGCTTGCACTGATGCCTCAATTTCAATCTCAAAGCATAAATTCAGAGACTGCCATTCAGTGTGTCACATTAAAAGTTGCTTGCATCAAATGTCTGGACAGAGATTTTGGGGGACAGTGGGATGGGCCCTGCCACCCTGGGCTGTCCATCTATCACCATGACTCAAACACAATTAGTGCAGCTTGCTTCTGTTCACACCCAGCACTGGTGACTGCCCCCAGTTGTCAGAGCACAACTCCCAGCACAGTCAAATATGGAGATTACACTAGCGTAAGGGACAAACACCTAGTGGGGCCAGTGCTAGTAGATTCAGTCACAGAGATGGGTCCTAGATCTGACACATGAAATGCCTGCTTCCTGCCAGTGACAGTGAAAGGTTATTGCCTCATGGCTGCTGACCCGTTCCTCTTCCCTATACATGCAGCTCAGGGGTGAGGAAAGACACCTTTCAAATGATCTTTGCCAAGTTTGGGGTGCCAGGTTCTCCTCTTGGAGTCACCTGATGGAGCCCATCTCTGATACTCTTCTCTTCTGCCATGCCCAAGCCCTCAGTTTCTGCCCCTCCCCTGCCTGACTGGACCAGTGTGCTTGTGCTGTGGGCAGAGGATAGCTTTGCTCTGGAGCAGGAGGAGGGAATGGGGGCTGGGGTCTTCC